GTATCTGCAAATCACATATCCAGTAAAGGACTTGTATCCAGAATATATAAAGAACTCTCAAAACTCAATAATAAGGAAGCAACAAACCCAATAAAAAATGGGCAAAAAATGTAAACAGAAACTTCACATATATGGATGGTAAATAAGCACATCATTAGCCATCAGGGAAATGCAAATTAAAACCACAATGAGATACCACTACACATGTAGTAGAATGGCTATGAAAAACCTCACCATACCAAGTGTTGGCAAGGATGCAGAGCAACTGGAACCCTCATACACTACTTTGGAAATGTAAAATGGTATAATCACTTTGGAAAAGTATGGAAAAATTTCTTAAAAAGTTAAACATATAGCTACCATATGATCCAGCCACTCAACTCCTAGACATTTACCCAGGGGAAATGAAAGCAGATGGACATACAAAGACTGTACATAATGTTCACAGCAGCTTTACTTTTAATAGCCAAAAGCTGGAAGAAACCCAAATGTCTATCAGTGGGTGAATGGATAAATGAACTGGGGTATATCCATACAATGGAATATCACTCAGCAATAAAAAGGAATCGACTATTGATACACACAACTTCATGGATGAATCTCAAAATAATTATGTCAAGTGAAAGAAGACAAACAAGAAAGAGAATGTACTGTATGATTCCATTTATATAAAATTCTAAAAATACAAACTAATCCATAGAGTCAGAACCATCACTGGTTGTCTAGGGAAGGGGAATGCAGGTGTGGAGAGGGGCCAGAGAGAGATGGTTTCACAGGTCTATACATAAGTCAAAAACTTGTCAAATTTTACACTCTAAATATGTGCAGCTTACTGTGTTTCAATTACTTAACAGAGCTGTTTCAAAAATTATCACACAAAACCAGACAGTGTAGACAGTTTAAGATAACAATCAAAAAAGAAGAATATAACCTGCAATTTCACGAAGAATTACAGGCTTTAAACACAAGTGAGTTTACATTATTCCAGACACAATCCTTTACCTGGTGAAAGCAGGAAAGGGAGCACATGACACAGGTCACGGGTGAGTGTGAAAGCAAGAAAAAAAAAGCTAACACAGTGAAGCCCTGAAGAATAGGTTACTGCATTTAATCTTAACATTATTGCTTAATTAAGATATAGCTAATCTGAAATATTTCATAATAATAAAAAAAGAAAAATTATTTAGTTTTTTCCAATTTGGCCCGTCCCACTCCCAAGCAGAATTAGGTACGTCATTCTTCCCACAGCCCCTGGAGAATACATCTTTCCTAGCGCTGCCACGTGTACGTAGCAATGGCTTGTCTTCCCACTAAACAAACAGCTCCATGAGGAAACAGACTGTCTTTTGATGTTGGCATAGTGGTCAAATTTAAGTGTTTTTTTTTAAGTTTCCTATCCTAGGCTTCCTATCCTAGGCTGTGCCATTCACCTACTGTGTAACCTCAGAATGTTACTTAATCTCTCTAATGCCCCTTCTATAAACTATAAAGTAGGGCTACTTGGGTATATATGATTCAGTGTAATTTATCCAAACCTCAGCCTACAAGCCCTGCATGATCTGACACCTGATGACCACTCCAGCTTCATTTACTTCTCTCTCCCTCGAGCTGACAGTGCTCAGCCAACGACCTTCTCTGAGTTCCAGTAAATCCACACCCCACCAGCTCTTTCCTGATTCAAGGCCTTTGCACATGCTATCTCCTCTGCTGATATTCCACGCCTCTCTCCTCTCTACAACCTCCTATCCCACAACAACAGGGCCAGCTCCTTCTTATCAAAGCCTCAGCTTACATGTCACCTGGATCCACAGAGAAGCCTTCTTTTCACACAGGGCCCCTGGTTATTCTGTCTCAGCATCCTTTTGTTTCCCTCTCTTCACTCAACAGCATTCATTCAACAAAGAGTTCTTGAGGACTGTCTGCCAGGCACTGTTCCAGATTCTGAGCATACAACAGTGAACACAACAGCTCTGACGGAGTGTACAATCTAGTGGGGGAAGACAGACTACAAACAGATGAGTAAAATATAGACTATGTTAGTTAGATGGCCATAAGTGCTATGGAGAAAAAAAATAAATTGTGAAAGGGGAAATGGGAGTTGCAAGGGTGGTTGTGATTTTAAATATGGGGTTTAGTGAAGGCTCACTGAGAATATAACATTGAGCAAAGACATGAAGGGGGTCAGGGAGAGAACCATACAGACATGGGGGCTGGGCAAGGGGCATTCCAGGCAGAGGAAACAGCAAGTCCAAAGGCCCTCAAACAGCAAGGAAGCTAGTTTGGCTGTAGAAGTCTAAGAAGAGCAGCAGATAATCAAAAAGATGACAGGATGGGGGAGGGAAGAGGACCACAGGGGAAAGTTCTGGGGACCACTGTCTGGTCTTCACCTTTCACCCAGAGGGAGATGGGAAGCCATTGGAGGGTTTTGAACAGAGGAGTGGTGTGATCTGATTTACATTCTAAAACCTGTGATTCATTTGGTAATGTTTTTTATGTTCTGTCTATCTTCCCCACCAGATAAGGGCAGGAAGCATAGCTGTCCTGGGCACTGGCATGACTCCAGCACCTAGCACAACACATTGTAGGCACTCAATAAATATTGATTAGATGAACGAGGTCATCTATGTAAAGCATTTACTGATACAAAATAAGCATTTCATAAATGGTAACTATTATTATTTGGAACCCCAGAGTGTAGCACAGTGGCTGGCATATGGTAAGAGCTTGAGTAAATGAACCAATAATTTTGTGAAATTGTTGTAAATCTATATTTAAAACATATGACAAATGCATCACTTTTCACTCCTTTTCCTTACTTATTAATACGTGACTGATTCCGTTTTGGAGCTTTACATTAAACACTACAGAGGGCACTACCTAGAATAATCCCATTGTGACTCAGTTCTCTAAATATCCTGCAATACCCTGCAAATACAATTAGCGCTAATGCACTGAAATGCTTGTAAAATTTCTAATTGGGTAAACTTATTCACATGATTTTTTCAAACAATCTTAATGTACAAGGCTGAGCTGACCCAAACTGGTTTGATTTTGATTGTTGTTAAATTCAAATAAAACTCGTTAACTCCAACATGTGGACAAAGAACTAAGAATTTCCACTTTTTACTATTTTGACATCTCTAGAGTCTTCCCCATGGAGAAACTTAATGAGGATTACACCTGTTCCCTTCTCCCTCGGGGTGCTTGGGGGCGGGGGGAGGGGGCCTAATGGCGGGGCTAAGGCAGTTCAGTGATTATCTCAGTAAAAGCCCTTCGGAGTCTCAACAGAGTTTTCCAGAAAGAAAACTAAAGAAAGAGTCATGCATCTAAGTACAAAACCACACCAAACGTTCCATCTCATAAAAGGTGAACAGCCGAGACCCTGATGTTTACAATGTCTCAATGGCGAGGACCCAAGAGGTGAGAGGGCCAGGTATGGCTCGGATGTTTAACCCCCAACCCTAAAAGTGGCCGAACCCATCCTTAGCACGATCACATAATATCTGCAAAGGAGGACTTCGGCACTATGGGAACTTTTATAAAAGCAGATGGAAGTTGCTTGAAATCAAACAAACTTTAAAAAAGAAAAAAGCGATGTCAAAGTGTTGAGCAGCCAGAAAGAACCTCCGGTTCGGCTCTGACTTGCTGGTGCTTGTACACAATCGTGCCCGCCGGCGTCTGGCTCAGACGCCCCCTTCCACTCGGGGAGGGAAAATAATAACTTTCGGAAATAACAGGCGTCCACAAAGGCAAGTGTTACACAGGACTTCTCAACCTCCCTCGAATAAGGCGGCTAATGTTTTGAGCAGCACTGATTCCACACAAGTCCCCCATCTCCCGTTTTCTTTTTTTTAAGAGAAGAAAAATAACCTAAGGAGGAGAAGGTGCTACCGTCAGACCCTCAAGGCAATTTCAGACAACAAAGACCCCAAGCAATCAAAATGGAATTATAATCGGAGCCGTCCGAGCGGCCCCCGCCGCGGAGGCGCTCGGCTGCCGCGCCCGCCGGGGTTCCCCGCGTGCCCGGGCCGGGTCCCCGCGCCCTCTCCAGCCCCGGTGCGCCCCGGTCCGCCGGTTCTCGGGGACCCGGGCCAGCTTCGCGCCGCCCACGACTTGGCAATCTCGGCGCCGCGGCTCTCCGCCTTCTGTCTCACGCGGCGTTCAAAATCTTTCCCGCCCAGGCGTGACGCGAGGAAGGAAAACAATCGGCGGACCCCGAGCGCGGGGGCCTGGGCCCGACGGGGGCGGGGGGGCATCAGGGCCGAGCCCCCCGCGCAGCCCCTTTCCCAGCCGAGCGGAGCGCCGGGCTGGGGCCCGGAGGTGACACAAAGAACCCGGAGAGACAAACGCCACCCGCTGGCGCTCGCTCCAATCCCCGGAGCGCCCCGCCCGCTGACAAGTTTGTGGCGCCTCCACGCACCCCACTCTCCTCCCCCGGGCAAAGTTTCCCGTGGCCGGGCTCGGACCCCCGCCTCGGGTCGGTCCCCGACTCCCACCGCCCCCGCCCCCGGCTCGGGGACCTTTCCCTCCCTCGCCCCCGCCCCTTCCCGTCCCTCCCTCCAACTGTCCCTCCCTCCCCGCCACAGCCCGCTCTCTCCAGGGCGCACCAGGGTGCTGGGGCCCCGCGGCCGCGTTCACCCGCCGCCGGCCCGGCGAGGGGCGAGGGCGCGGGCTGGGGCCGGCCCAGGTCGGCGCCCCGCTTGCCTTGCTCTCTCGATCGCGCCCTTTGCTCGTTCTCCCGCTCGCTTTTTCGGTCCAGCCGAAGGCTCAGGGCGCAGCAGAGCGCGCTCCGCTCCTTGGCGCTCGGAAAGCTGCAAACCACGCCCCGCGCCTTCCCCGCCCGCCGCCCGCCGCCGAGTCCCGCGCTCGCCGCTC